AAAGGGATTAAGATTCTGGTAATGTAATTATAGTGCCTTATAATTGCAAGGATTTGACAATAGAGGTCTTAGGACCTTTATTACGGGATGCTCTCACAGATCATAGAATCTTTTAGTTTCCCTGCAAAACAACGATAACAGAAAGCATTTGGGCTTGTAGCTATTTATTTAAATAAAACCTAACCATAAATCTGGTTTTGCTTTTGTCTCCTTTCCTGTAAGCATCAATGCATAAACCAGATGCTTGTGAAGTCAAAGTATAATAAATCATGAAGAGACATTATTCTCTTGAAAAGGGTAAAAAAAAAAGTTTCTGCTGTAGCTAAGACACCCGAGATGTACGTTACATTACTAAAAAGCCTTGCTTCATAGTTGCAAGTCAGCCACTAGAGGTCAGTGGTTTGGAATAAAATGAGAACATTGAAGAAATACTCCCACTCATTTCAACTGACCAAGTTTCATATTCAAGTACAATTTCCAGTCTCTGGGTAATGAAAAAAAAAACTCTTAAGGATAGTAACACTTACCTCCATCCTAATGGAAAAAAGTAGTTTACAGTTCTTAAAACAATAAATATATAATGCATACTCCATTGAAACAACTACTCTTTCACCTGAACAGCAATACTGAGAGATGCATACGAACACGGAACTGGAGGAGGCTTCCTGCATCATGTCTATTCTGCTGCTACTGCAGCTCTGCCATACAATCTTTTGTGAACAAATCAAACACCAGCTTAACAGCAGCTTGATTCTTTTGCCCACACTACTTCTCAGAGAGCCTTACCTTACTTCATACTCTTTTAATCAGTTTCACTACTACTTTGAAGTGTACAATGGCAAGAGATTAGAAATACCTATACAGTGCAAGTGTTTTTGTTTTTTTAAACTATTTCCCTCACAATGTGTTCTACATTATGAAAAGTGAGAGGGCTGGCAGAGATAAGGAAGAGGCAAACAGCAAAACATATGAAAAATATTCAAATGGCAACAACATTAAGCATTTTATTTATTAGTAGTCATTTATCTGATACTGTAAGCGTATACAACATCGATTCACAGCATGTATACATCAGAGCAGCCCTAAGGCTTGCCTCTGCCCCAAAGAGTAGCATTTAAAAATTTTTAAACAATTAAAAATGAATAGGACCACTGGACGCTGAGGAAATACAAGCTAAACTGATGCTTGATGCTATAACTGTAGTTTCCAAGGTTTAAATATTCCCATGTATTAAACAATTACATAACTGTTAAAATGCTGATGGATTTTAAAATTCAGAAATGTGTGCTCTTGAAAATAACATACAAGAGCACATAATTCCACAAAATCTTTCTTTTTTTCATTTTAAGCAGATAAAGATCTGCCTCTCTTGTACAACATGGCAGCATCTGAAGATGCTATTCCAATGACATTTTAATACAGAAGAGATTTGAAATAATTTTCAGCTAGAAAACTATGTACTGTGCAGATAATATTAATGACATAAACCTCAAATCTCCACTCATGGGTTTATGAAAGCAGCATAGCACCCAAGTAGGATTTCCATACCTATTATATAGAGCTAAACTCTTCAGCTTTTCCCTTGTTTTTTTTCTCTCCTATTTTACTTCTTCCCTGTTACTTTTCTACCCTTGTGAAAACTACACTCAGCATTGCTTTAACCCCTGCTGATGGTCTAGTCTTACATCATTATGATCATTTCTGACTTTTAAAGTTAGTTTTCCTGTTAAATATCTCAGACTGGTACACCATCTTCATCCAACGCACTCTTTGCCAATGTGAAGAACAAGGCGTTAGCACTCAAAAACACACACACAGCAGAAAATGAAATTACTGTGATCTGCACTTGTTTGCGAGGAAAGCAGCTTCCAGGATCCTGCTCGAGAGGCAGACTGCTGCAACTCCTTACTAACCCCACAAAGAAGGTACCACGATCAGGTACGTGAAAATCAGGAGACAATCAACCTCCAATTAACTATTCCATTAAGAGAAAGGTCTTTGATGGCTCCTCAGAATATAATCCACACTATTGCTTCTCCAAGACTAACCTAGGACCACAGATTTATGGTTGAAGTCAGTTGTGATAAAATAAAACCCATCTAATGGGAACTAGGATTGAACAGAAGTCAGTATTCAAAGCATCATCACAAATAAGGCTACCCCACAAAAAAAGAGTAACAGGGATCACACTTAACAGCACTGGTTTATGATTTTGTTTACTTGTTATGAAATAAGTTACACTGATAAATTCCAAGTAATCAAGTGCTGGTTATCAGATCAGCAATTGGTCTTATTTAGCTAGGGTTATATAACCACAGTCACAAAGTCACCTACTAGAAGACTCACAGAACAGGGTATGACTCCTGCCAAAACACAGATGCACTCGTAACTTCACTGCTATTAACACCTCCATTGAAAATATGGTAGTAAACTGAGCATCTACATAAGTTTTCACAGAACTTGGCCTGACATCTACAATGTTATAAATCACAATATCTCCAATGACTTAAAGACGGGTATCAGCTTTTTTCTGGGGTTTGATACACAACTTAATCTTTCTTTTTCTCCAGGAAAGCAAGCAAAAAGTTATAGTAGTTTACTATATCCTGTGCTATTCTGGGGGGACTTAGCCTTGAGCTATTTAGCACTTTCAAAAATGGAATTAGTCTTAAGTCATTTGAGTGATTTTACCCAGTGTCTTTGCCCCAGAGATCACACACACACACACACACACACACACACACGAACCTAGAACATTTAACATGCAAAGCCTTTGGTCACTAACTCAAACTGAAAGAACTGAACTTAAACAACTGTTGTTTTGCAACATAACATTGGTAATATTTTAAATCCAGAGAAAACTATACAATTTGATTTCAAGAACTACAAAACCGTAGCTGTATCAATACAGAAAGAAAACAATTTAATTTGTTTTGAAATAAATATTTGACATACAAAGCACATACAGTGAAAAGGGTCACAATAAATTACAAGTGGAGATACTTTGCTCATTCACTGAGAGAAGCCCTTGGTAGTTGCAATTTCATACCATCAAATTTATTATTCTTGCTGATTTAAGCAGAACACTAAACAAATATGGATCCCAGTGCTTACTTTCACAGGTACTGGCATGGATAATTTACTGCAGTGATCCAATTTGAAAATCAGTAGGGACCAGTAAATCGCTGCATAAAAGAAAGAGCGAATGAGGTGCTTTTTCCTTAGTGTCAGCAGCCTGTGATTATTATGTTTATTAGATTTTCTTGAGAGGGCTGCACATTTTCTCAAATATGCAGGAGAACTGTATTTCCCCTCTGAGCCTTACATTAGCATTTTGTGCCTCAGCTCTTCAATACAACAAAACGATGAATTTTCCAATTCATTTTAGAAGTTTGTGCTGCTGGATAGCACAGAACTAAGCAATGCAACTCCCTTACTCGTACAGTATCTGCTATTGTCATGAAACTAGCTTTTGTAGAAAAGTTAATAAGGAGTGTTGACATATTCTATGAAAAGGATATTTTTGAATCTACATTTAATCTTAAATTCAACTACATTATCCATACTGATAATGCATCTGTGAAATAAAAGATTGCTTAAGATTCTGTCCTTAGAAAGGAATTTAAAACAGTAAGGCCTGATTCTTCCTACGATTTTTAAGGAACTTCTAGCACATTAAATAAAGTTTCAATACAAAGATAAACAAATTAGTTTCAATATTGTTATATTATAACCACAAATATGTACACCGCAGCAGTTAAAAAGTATAAGCAATTTTAACAGATCAGCATAGCCTGCTAACATCTGTCTTGGACATAAGCACTCACGATCTCATTCTGCTGCACATTCCTCCCCACCAGAAAAAGGAAGATACCAGGGGCCATACCTAAGTACGCCTCCCTTCCACAAGGAAAGCAATTTCTGACAGCACTTAAGAGAGTATGCTGTTCTAGCTCAATGGTCTTAGTCATCCTTAATCTGAGCACCATATTGTACAGTATTTTTTGCAACTGTTTAAGCAGCAGTATCAAGATCAGAATCATATGTGGCATACAAAAGAATCAGAGCCCCTTGAACACTTCTGCAACATTCATTCTTTTACTGCCTGCTCTGCCAGAGCTCTTACACTACCCTTGGGCAAGTGATCTGTCCTTCTGTGCTTCAGTTTCTACCTGTAAAATGGGCTGTAACTGTACTTTCTTAAATAGCAAGGGATCTCTACAGCAAATATTGTGATATAAGTACCTAATGATAAAGAGGGTGCAACACAGAGTACAAAACAATCAGCTATGTAATGTCTGGATAGCACAGTCAAATATATAGCTCAAACTGTAGAAATTCAGCTTAGAAACTAAACCATAGCTCAGAAACTGTCAGAACAAACACTGACTTACTGTTATAACAAAAAAAAAGTTTGTTAAACATAGAACTTAATACTAACAGATCTCAGGGGAACAGAATGCATAAAACTGACAGCACAAAAGATGACAGAAGTATAAAATTAAATAAAGGACAATAAAGGGAAGGATGGACGTATTAGTGGATTATTCACTTATAAGAAAACCCAACCAGCATTAGCAGTTCCCAACACACATAATTTGTCTGTCTCACCTGTAGATAAATAAAGCCTCAGGACCGAAGCCTTATGTTGGAACATCACTTCTACGGCAAGCTTGTCCAAGAGGGGTATGACCTACCCATAGAATTCATGCAGCAGCACTTAAAGTTATGAAAGCTAAGACAACATAAAAAAAGCCAGTATGATTTATACCAGCAGAAACAGTTACCACATTTGGCTGGCAAACTTTCATTAGGACAAGGATGCTTCTCTTCACAGGGTAGGCAAACGGATTTCACAATTAGTTACAAAGTTCCTCTAGTTATCACTGACTCCTGCTACAGGCTCTGCATCATGGCTATCTGCCGGCAGTATAGAAATAGGAACATACAATTCTTTTCACTAGAAAAATCTCAAATTGTGACAACCAGCATTTGATGTGTTTAGCTGTTAGTACAGAAACAGCCACAAACCACTGTTACAAAGCGGGCACAAAACTCAGTACTATCACTTAGGCGGTCTAAGGCTAGAGCAAATAAATCAAAGTTGATGCAGAGTGCAGGTCAGTAGCCTAATTCATTTTGCTTAGAAGTTATCCCAATATTCCATGTTTTCTAGGCATACCTTGCAAGTAAGTTTTTTTTTTTTTTTTAAATAGGCCACAAACAAAACCCAGGCCTCAGTTTTGTCAGGCAAGTCTCAGCAAAGCATGTAAACAAATGTAACACTAGCCAAATCAAATTTGGTTTATAAAAATTTCTCTCCTCTCAACCTACATCTAACACTACTTAAAAGAAAGAGGTAGCAAGAAATCCCGTATCCATATATAAACTATTTCATGAGCCTTCAGTAGGTAGAGAATTGGAAATCTCACTCATTTAATCTTTTTAATCTTCCTTGCCCATTCATAAAGAGCTGGGTCACAAAACTCAGCACCCTTCTACTTTTGTAACATATCAGACCCAGTTTTTACTCTTCACTAAGATTAACATAATTCTAACCAATAATAACGTACAACCAAAGGAACAGTAAATTGGGCCCATAATAAAAGCAGTCTTAGAGCACAAGAACTGGCTCAGAACTTAAGAGTAATGTTACTTTGTTTACACTAATTACCAAAGCCTTCATTTGCCTTCCACTCCCGAATAGACTCTTAGGTAACAAACTTTATTTTAAAATCATAGTGGTGCAAAGTCTGATGTCATCACTTAAAAATACACAACATCAGATAGGGCCTAGAGCAGTGCTGAAATATAGAAACAGTCAGAAGTAGGTCTGGATTTCTGCTCATATCAGATAGCACTGTTGCAGTACTTACTCTTGAGTTAAATTTTGAAGGAAAGGGTCACTTTATAAGGCAAAAAATTCCCTATAAATTCACTGTTTAGAAATGCACAAGACATTGATTGTTTCCTGATTCAGAAGTGGCAGTAGGGTCAAGAGAACATGCACACAAAATTGCATTCTGCTCAACTTCCAGGTTCAAGTATCAGTATGTTCTGTTAGAAAGAAAAATAAGCTTGAAGAGCCTACTACATTACATTTAACAGTCCTTTTATTGCAGTAGAAATTTTAGTTTTTCTAAAATGCTCAAATAACAGGATATACAGATAGTAAATCTAGTTGCAAGTCTTAGCAGCTGTAGAGCATTACTGCATGCAGTTGCTTCTGCAGTGTACAAGTATTCTGTAAATAGCGAATCATGTTCAGAGAGCAAGTTCAAAAGTCAATATCATACTGGGTTACCAAAAACAGGTCTTCATCAGCACCAAGAGGTTGAGCAAAAAAATGAAATAAACGTATAAATGCATGTCTCTGAACCAACAAACTAATACTTAATACAACTGAAAAGTCTGAATTATAGCCACATCACAAACAAGTTAAGTTACAAGAAAATACTTTGTTTCAAGATCACTTTCAAAAGTGTTTCACCTAAGATTTCTCCGACCAAGCAAGAATTAAGTACAATGCATTAGGAGTTTACAGAAGGCTGATGAATTCCATTATATTTTATGTAATTAAAATATCAACATTTACCACAGACGATTAGACAAACGCTTTGCCTTAACTTTATGGAAGCAGGTTGCATTCTGACAGATAACATTCTTTTTCCATGACCTACCTTTCAGCTGCTGGGTGAATGCATAATAAGAACTCAATTTATTATTCATTTCTGTAGTCATGACACTGCCTTCAGATCAGTAAGATCAGATGGATTTATGCCAAGAAGAATCCTACAGCCATTTGTTTCAATAGATGCCTGAACAGGTGCAATCCTTTAAGTAAATTTCCCATCACAATGAGAGCCTCAGAAACTGGGAGAACAATTTATATAAAGCTAGCTACAGATTAATTTTCTAAAAAGCAGACATGCTTGAGTTACCACAGCCTCACATTTGTGGAGACACAAGAACACATTTGCAATGATTCTGAAAAAGTTACCACATTTACATTGATTAGTTCACTTAAGAGATGGTTAAAAGTTTAAGCATTGCATCTTTGTCTCAAAAAGCTTACAGGTCAGCAACTTGGCTTGGTAAAACATCTTGTTATGACAACATAACTGTACAGAGTTTTCTGTGGTCAGAGTCTTGAGATTTCTCCGAACAACATGATGTAGAACTACATCACAAGGAAGAAACCCAGAAGAGTTTTTTCTTTTTCTCAATTAATAAAAATACGCTCTCCTTCAGAAAAGGTGTTAACCATGCCAGCTTGACAGATTTTAATCCATTTTGTTAAATTCAAAGTGGGCCATTTTTTTTTATTGAATATACTAATTTAGGCAAAAAAGTCCATGGTCATATCAGTAAGCAGAAGAATACTGTCCAAGGTGTAGTGCACTGGTATATGTACCAACTGGTGTCCACTGGAGACATTTTGCAGTAGCTAGGGTTCCAACTAAGAGACCTACTAAGCAAAGACTCCTTAAAACAAACAATCAAACTTTTAATCAACCTTAAACAATCTACGATTTTTAAAAAAAACAATTCCATATGCTTGGACTTTATCCTTCTTAGCACGTTTTGGATAAGATGAAGCTATTTCTCACAAATTAGCAACGCAACACAGTAATTTTAAGTTTCCAAGACTCGCTTTTGAGATGATAAATTTCATATTATCTCCAAGAGAAGCATATACACATTTGTCTACAGCCTGGAGTGAGATCAGTGTAAAACCAGGAATTTATAATCATCAGCAGAATTGCCAGCTGCTCATAACGTTCACATTACATAAATGCCTGGAAGTTGGCTACGCAACAGTTGGTGCCAATCTGCTTATAAAGGAAATGCTGCTGAGACATAGTCTTCTTACAAAAACAGGGCATGAGGGCTTCATTATTAGATGCTCAACAACAATCCTCAGCTCGGTGAAGAGAGTCCTGAGAATCAGATTTAAACAAAGAGTATTAAGATTCTATAAGCATTAGCCAGAAGTATCTAGTACCTAGAAATCTTTTCATTCACTCATTTTCTCAAAAAATGGAAACTGTAGTTAACAAGTTTCTTTAGATCAACTCTGTGTTGCAGTACCTTGCAAGAGCTCGAGAATTCTTATCCTTTAAACATTAATATTTTAATTAACTTTGAACGCTACTTCCACACAAAGACAGATATCAAGACAGAAGGCAAATTCAACCTTCAAGCAGGGAAATACCAGAGGGTAGGGGCAGGTAACACTTTTTCAAAAGCTGCGTAAGGAACCAAGAGGCAGCAAGTGGTGCTTTGGTGTTGCTTCTAGCCAGAATGGACAAAAGGCCTGCTGTCTAGAACCAACTCTCAGAAGACAGCCATAAGAAATAAAATTCACAACACTAGTTTGACTTAAAATCACATAAATACCAGCAAAACACTGGGGAGTAGTTGTATTAAAAAACAGTTTTAACATTCCACAATTTAAGTTTTTTGTAGATACCAAAAAAGTGCCTTCATTGATTTTTGTTGAAAAATACCTGTAATAAGATGGAATAATTGATTTCCTACAAAACAGTAGGGAATAGCAGGAGATTAAGCTTATGGTTCTCAAACCTGCCTTTGCATACCACAACAGCCAAAAGCCACTTCCTACTTTATCAAACTACTTTCCAATCAACTAATGATCAGATTGGAAAGCATGTTCACCAAATCTTACATTATGCAATGCTTGTCTTGAGAAAGTTCTGAGAAAGCACTGACCTGAGTAAAATTCTCACAGAAATATTTAATGGTTTCAAAGTTTAGAGCAATGAAAGTTGGTCAAGTCAATGCTAAACAAAATCAGTAAGGCCATGTTTCAATTACAGTAAACCTGATTATGATTTCAACTTAAGTAGGGAATGAACATGTTTAAGATCATCCACAAATTTTTTTCAGTTGACATTACACAAGTTCATAAATGTCTGTTCACATACGGAAATGGACTCAAGATAGGCCTGCAATCTAAAAACAAGGCTACCTTTTTGGTAAAAAAATTACAAAACATCTAGAAGACTTTCTCCTCCAAAGCCTAGTTTTAATTAGGCAGGTATGTTCTGAAAGTTCCCATTTAAAAATGGCACATTTCAGAAAAGTTCAGTTATGTGAAATAAGTATAACCTTGAATTCATTCATATTTTTGTTAATATCCATGGTTCTTCCACATTTCTACAACTGCCATTTACAGGTTGAGAGTTATCAGTTATCTATTCATTTAAGAGTGAAATTTCTGAATGCCAAAACACTAAGCTGTTAAGCATTAGCTCCCAAAATCAATGTAGTGCTTACCGACAGTATGGATTTCTCCGAGAGGAGTAGCGTAACGTAAGAAATCTATAGTAAATGAACGGCTGGAGCAGACTCCCCTGCCCACTAAAAGGGAAAAGAGAAGTGGAGTTTTATACTGACAAACAAACAAAAAAACCCACATATACAACACATTATTTTATTATTCCCTAATAAAAGGGAACTACCCAGGCTCAAAAAATACCAAGCCAGATTGAGGTTCATATTTGTTCAAACTATCTAGATTCGATGAAGGAAAGAGGAAAAGAAAAAAAAGAAAAAAGAAAAATCCACAACCTCAAACAAGAAAACTAACAGTACATTTATGAAGGCTGAAGCTTACATTACAGAATAACACTGCTCAATAAAGCAATTAAAGAAATGCAATATTGCTATTCTCATGTTGATTTTGTATTTATGAAGTGTTTTATATGTCTAGATTCTGAAAGTTGGAAAAGAGTCACAGAAGTGACAGCGGAGGCCCATTTACTATTAAGCAAAAGCCTTTTGGTCAAACATGGAAGCTGGCTGGCATAAATAGTCCAGTTACAACAGACATTTTTTGTCCTAAGCACAGCACTTTGAAAAACCAGGCCTTACTCCTGGAATCTTTTGTAAAACTTCTTATGACACATTGGAAACTACCATAGACATATTGAGATATTAAAACCATGTTGATATCAAGCCATTCCACTTGCTTGAAATTATTTTTTATATACATATATATACACTTCACAAAGCTGCTGTTCCCTGTGATAGTGCTGTACAGTAGTGAAAGGGTAGCAAGTAGATCCAAACCACAGAGTAAATAACAGAAATACCATGAGTTTAATTTCACTGCTTGAAGTTTCCTCATAAAACATAGTATTAAAAAGCCCTGTGTAAAGCTGTATATTACCTGACAGTGTCATTAACTAGAGCTTCTTCAAATATGAACAGGATCTTTACCCAGAAGCATAATACAAAGTGAAAAGGAAAATGAGCTATGGGGAGTGGGAAAGATAGTCTTGCACCCGTGCAGTAATTACAAGCAATTTAATAAGCTAAAATAGCTTATGGAACAGACTTTCACAAAATTGTACTTATACACAATTATATACGATTGTGTATTTTCACAACAATTGTATTGAAGTATTGTAAACTATATTGACCTTTATGTTATTTTAAATCTCAATATACCATCTTTTAAAAGCTTCAGTACCTATTAGCTGATTTATCAAGTAGCTACACCTCATATACTAAATTATTTCTAAAGAGAAAGAACTACTTCAAAACAGAAGTTTAAAGCGCTTGAATGCTTCAGATGTTGTATACTGAGAGTATGTGGCGGTTGTTAAGTGACTTCAGAATGAAACAGAATCCATCAAGAGTAAGGCATCAAAGCATTCAGTTGATATATCAGGAGAAAAAGACAAATTACGCATTCTATTAACTTACAAGAAAATAAAGCCTCCCTCCCGACCCCTCAGCACAAATGCTTTCACTGTGCTGTAACTTGCACAGAATAAAGGGTATGTCCCCCCCTCCAAATATTAAAAGGCAATGCCTCCAACTTCAGTGACATACAGGCCATTATGGCTGTTTGACTTCAGCTGTATTCCAACATGCATAAACTCAAGGTCTCTAAAATGAATTCAACAGGCAGCACACAGACCCAGCAGTCAAAACCAGATGGAAATTTTAAAAAGCGTCCCTGGTCAGAAGTAACACAGGAGACGACATAATTTCATTATGCAAGCAGGAATAAGTTTCCATGCCAATTTTATTTCTGGGATCAAGTACTCAAAAATAAGAGTAAAAAGACACCTTCAGTGAAGCTAAAGATCTCAATATTGTATTACACTGACTAAAATTATACCTACTGGAGGTTTTAGATGAGTGTAAGTTGCAAGACTGAAAAATTCCGATTTTAACCAGCAACTTTACTCATGCTATCAAGAGAGGGTTTTTTTTGGTGCCAAATTGTTTTAGAGTGAATGCTTTTTGATTTAATGAACCAGCTTGAGAAGTCTAGAATCAAATAAATCCAAGTTCTCGTCTTGATCAAACAGAACTGTAAAAATGGAGATCTCTGTGATCCACAGAGAACTCACTGCAAAAAGTAATCTTGTATAAGAAGCTCTTAATTCTGAAGATATGTATTGCAATTCTTACCTGAAGAGCATAAACACTGTAGCTGGCATCAGGAAAATTTCATTGCAAGCAATGAATTTTAGAATATTCTGTTGATTAGCATTCAGTTTCTCCAAAAGATTTCTCAGAAGGGGCATGCTATTTGAACCTCGTGCCTTTAAGGAAGAAAAAAGATTGCCAGAAAAATATGCAAGTTAAATAAATCTTTTCTCTAGCAGGAAGAAATCAAAATACTAACAACTATCAGTTATGACTCTTCTCAGCATTTTAAGACTAGCTCCCTAGAAATTAAGATTAGAATCCCAAAGAACACTATTGGAAGTATGGAATCCTCCTCAGAGGAATCATTAACAATCTAAGGAATTATAACTGTGTAAAATTAAATTAAAAATATGAAGTCTTTCAATCCCTCATGTACCTATTTTAGGTTCAACTGCATAGGCCACCAGCCTTATTCTGCCCACTAGGGTAAAAGAACCTATAGTAGCAAGACATCAGTGTGGCATATCAGAAGTTGGAGTTAAAGGGCTGCAGAAGCTTGTGCATGAGCAGCAGCTCCACCTGGCAAGTATCTCCTCCACTGTAGCTAAAAGAATACACAGTTGCAACTCTCAAACCTGTTATAAAACCCAAGCACAGGGAAGTATTAAACGGTATTTTCTGTGATACTTACATCAAGAACCTTCTTTGTATATGTGGCAGCATGAAGCAAAGAAAACAGCAGAATTGGGAAAATACTCACTGAAGCAAGCGATAAGGAAAACTATAAGCTACTGAAGTGCTTCACTACCCACCCCAACACACTGATATTACAATAACACGCACAAATTTTAGTTTGTTGGCTCTTTGCAAAAGGTTGGCCAGAATCAACTACACTGGATTAAGACAGGCACACGTATAATGATTCTGTAGCTGTTCCCTTTGCTTCTTCCATCTTCTCTTAGCTACACATTTTATTGATTTTAAAGTGTGTACGTGTGTATGTAAAAGGACAAAATACCATCTGACCTTACACACAATTGCATTTTTAGAGAAATACATTCTTCCTGCATGGAAGAAATGTACAAGGTTCATAATTAAAATCTATCATACAGATTTAGTCATCAAAATATTTTTATTAATAGATGTTACAGACTGTGTTTCTTCAAAGAACATGCAGTTGCCAACAATTCAGATTTTAGTCAGCAAGATTCCTGTGGCAGTCATTTTAAGAGCAGGACATTAAACTAAGCACAAATAAAGAATAGCCATTTCTTAAACGTCATCTTGACTAACCAGGGGAATAAGCCCTTTTTTCAGACTTTGTTTAAAAATTGTTATCTGAAAGAAGCTTATTACTGAACAGCTGTCTCTACACAACATATATCCTACCTATAGTGAAGACTCACATAAAATCCTGTAGTGGTAATCAATGAAAATTATCAACTGCCATTAAAGTATCACACATGACACTGGTCATAAAAACCACTGCACTTAAATCCTGAAAAAGAAAATACTAGGAGCCAGAGGATGCAACGCACTAGTTAGAGACGATTAACCTAAATATGACTCAATCAACATAAGCAGCTCCTATTTTACACAGAGCAAGTTCTATGAATAGCAAGCACGTTTTAGTTTAAACTGCTTTTTCAAGTCATGGCACAGATAATATCTTAAAAACCTTCATTCCTTCCATTTTTAAAAATCACCAGGATGACACTTTGTTAAAGGATACTTGTAACAGGGTAGGAATTAACAAAGATAAGAGAGTACAACAGGTAGTGGCAGCTATCCTCCAACAAAGCCTGGGCAAGAAATGCCCTGCTAAGCTGAAAGTGTGGTAGCCTTTGGTGCAGTCGGAGGGCACTGGTTAGAGCATTTGCCAGCAAGGCACGCTGATAAAAGCTTGCTGCTTCATGCAACCTGCAAATTACCAGAGGAGATGTTACCATAAAAACCAGGTCTCTGCTTAGGGAATGTTCACCCTTGAGAATTGCATCACAATTGCACATCATTTTAAGCTTTTTCTACTATAACTACTACTACCAAAACAACCTCGAAAACTAGTAGCACTGACTTATAGCATGATGCCAAAGGTAAAACAGTATATTATTCCATAACTACACATCAAAAAAATATAACTGCCTCCACAGTTGTTCAACGAGTTTTCCAAACAAATCAAAAAATGTTTTAAACCAGTCTAAAATCTGTAAAATATTCTCACAGAAAGCATCCAGTAAACTGAATATTATACATTCAGGCTTACATAAAAAACAACTCTAAGAAAAAGAAGTGTAATTGCTTTCTAAGTTTTTAAGTGTTATTTTATAACATTACAATACATACCCTAGAAGAGGCAGGACAAATAAAGCTGAGCAGTAAACAGTGAACAAGCGGGAAATCCACATTGCTGTATCCAACTTGTTAGCCATCAGAAATTGCTACATTTGAAGAGGGGAGGAAAGAAAAAAAAAAAAAGCCAAACCCCCAGAAATTAGCATCTTAATATTTGCCTACATTCATCCCTCCTTCCTTACTAAGCTTCAACTCTATCTCCAACTTTGAATATAGTCAAATGATAGCTTGAAGCAAATAGCATCTTTTGGGTGTGTGATACCTGATCCATAAGATGTTACTATGAAAATCAAAAATAGCTACGCTGTGTCAAAATCAAAAGGCTCCCTTAAAGTTATGATCAAATATGGTTTTAGGACCTTCTACAGAGGTATTTTTTTCCTATATGGACCCACCTCACTAGACAGATAACTTATCATGCAAGCTCTTCAGTCCTACTGACTTCTGTCTCTATTGCTGCTTTTGGAACATACTTCACATACATGGGGCTAAAGACTCCATAAAGGACTTCTTATAGATGGGGCAACAAAAGCGAGTCAGTTAACATTCACATAACTACACCAGGAAAAAAAAAAAAAAAAGATTCTTGGCCAGAAAAAAAAGAAAAAAGCTTTGAATAGTGATCTAGTCTACCTCCTGTTGCTGAGTTCTGCTTAACCACACTCTTCTTCACTCCTGATAAACCTACAGTACCAGAAAGGCTCTAAAAAAAGCACACTCTAAAAAAGCACAGCATGCTTTTAGCTATTATGGCACTAAGATAGGCATCCAAATACAGCCTTTCAGCTGGAAAAGTTCAAAAGCGTGGCTTGAATTTGAGCCAGCTTTTGAAGACTGCTCCTCCCTCTATGCCCCTAGACCCCTTTTTAAGGGGACTGAAAATTAACCAAGTAAACCGCAAGCATCCGGTTCCCATCATTATCCGTTCTTATCATCATTATCCAAGCTTCCCCTCATTATCCATTTACTTATTTGCGCAACATAACCAGGGACGTACAGTTACTGCCACCCCAAGTGACCTTCAGGTGAGGCAGCCCCACGCACAGCCAGGAGCAGCGCAGAGATCACACTGCGAGCCGGCACCTCCGTCCCCGGCGGCGCCCGTCCCCG